AGCCGAAGGGTATGAAGGAAAGCCGATAACCCTTCCATCATCACAAGGATGGCGACGGTGAATGTGGCCCATACAGCGAATGTCAAAAACAATATAACGCTTTTTACATAGTTATTCTCGGTAGCACCCAAACCTTCGCTTAACACCATTTTCCATAAGACTTCGGAAAGTTGTCCATGGGCCAACGACAAAGCCCATAAACGTAGATAAGAGGCAGTGTGAGATATCGTTGAGAGAACATATTCTATAGTATGAATAACCTGGTGTATCATCACTTCACCGAATGTTTCCGTTTCGTGAGCATCGGTGGCTTGACTAATAGTCGCATTATTTTGTAAACCTTCGGTTTGCAATTCGATGTCTTGAGATGGAGTTCCATTGCTCTGAAATTGAAAAGCGATCGCAGGTGAAAACTTTATATAAAACGAGTGAAAATTGTAGAGTCTTGAAGACACCATTTATTTATCTTTGTCATTACTTTTTTACCGAATTATTTATAAGAAAAGTACACGTATGTGTATGTATATGTATGAGCACAAGCATACGGATGTATGCACAAGGTTGAAAAATATTGGCAGCTTTTATACAAAGCGATTTCGATATAGTACTTTATAAATATCCATTTAATCCAGCAGCTAATGTAAAAACGGTTAACCAAGTCGCCTATTACGCTGTAATTCGATTATGCGTTCTTTCTCCTTAACCAGTCAACTGCGTTTGACGAGTATACACGTCGAACGAAAGCTAGCAGCCTTTGACGAGTATACTCGTCGTCGCTTGTATTTATTTGCGCACTCAATGACTCAGCCCCGTGACAGATTTCTAAAACTAAATTCCGCGGTTAACTGGTTAATTTGTCGATCCAGTTTCTGAGTCGATACACGATCATTGTAATGGAGATAATAGTACGAGAATTATATTTGCTCACCAAGATTCTCTCTTCTCGTCTCTTCTTCTGGAATAAGAAGAGAAGAGGCTTGCCAAGAAGCATTACAGGCACACATAGCAGAGCGAGTATCACGCAAACCTTCTGAAGAATAGACTGACCCGGGAACATGAACTCCGAACAACCAAGCGGCACGGTAGCGTGACCCTGCAGTATCATATTAATAAACGTAATCAAAACCGATGGTGCGCACGAAGGACTGTATCTATGATCTGTAAAAAAAAAAAAAAAAGAAGATACATAGCAGGATCTGATTAATTTCACCATTGAATGGAAAATCAGATAGCAACGATAACAAGTATGATATGATATAATACGTTACCTGTTGCAGCAGGATTATACAAAACCCATTTAACGAACATCAAAACTACCAGATAGAAAAATAATAAAACAAGGAAAAGTAACTGTGGCAAGAATTCTAGGAATAAGCTCGAGTATCTCTTGAAATGCCTGTTGGGGAAACGTAGAAACACATGTAATTAATAAGGTAATTCGTGAACGTGAAAACTACTATTACTAGTTACCATAGCGTATAACGTACAAAAATACTGTAAAATTTCGTTTCTATGTAAAATTTATTACACAGGCTGATTCGTTCATCTTGCATTGCTTAACATACGTAGATAGGATTATTGTTAATCGGAGATGGCCGATTTCAATGGCCTTGAAATACAAAACGATCGTCAATCTCGATATCCGGGATAATCTTTTCCTACGTATGCATACCGCTTAGCTATAGTTTCTTCTAAGTAGATATTTAATTTCTGACAAAACGCCTGTTCGTGTCACGTTTGTGTCGGATTTGGATTTGGTTGGCCGTAGCCCGGGAGAAGGGCAGGCCAATGGCAGATGACTGTCACGATGCTGCGCAGCGTCGCGACGCCGGGCAGACCGCGATGGGGGTGTGCCGTGATACTTGTTACTATAGTCCCAAGTCCTACATCTCACAGCGGGGTAGCGTCGATACGATACGAGGTACATGCGTACTATTACGAGTTTCTTTTCGGAAATTCACCGACACGACGCGACGCGTTCAGGTTTTAACGAACCGGTAAGAATCCGCCGCTACTTGACATACTTGTCCTACGTTTCTTATACTTTATGATACTTTCGAACCAGTTACCGAAGAACCAGTTCAGTGCGTTCAACGCGTATACACGGACCAATCTAAATGCATCTCGATGCGGTTGACGTATATACTCGTCGTGTATAAAATCAAGCTGCAAATAAACAATTACCATTTACTATAAAGACTCAAAATTTTAGTAAAAAGTAATATAAACGATACTTATTGGTAATGTTTCCTTTATACTTCCAGCAAACCTGTTATGTATTTTATAAAAAAAAAGTTTGATTATTTGATTATGCTCTTTGGCGCGTATATCCAATGAAATTTCAAAATGTTTCCTATAACTCGCATAATATGTTTGTGATCACCGTATGTTAAGCGATTTTAATCCAAGATAATCGAAACACCCTATGTCTATATATAATATACCTATAAATACAGATTAAGGAACAATATCTAGCACGTATGGACCACCTCGATTTTCAGCTATGTGTAATATCTACATGGTTTCGTTTCTGTTTTCTCCAAACTCTATTAGAATATTTGACGAATATACTCGTACGTGTAACAAAAAAAAAGACAGAAAATGTTATTTAAACGTGGCTTTTTTTATAGATTCGTTAAAGAAAGATTGACGCTTTTTGTGAAAGTGAAAAACAGAAACCTGTACCTATTTATCGTAGTACACGAATGCGCGTGATTATTGGGGAAGCAATTGGATGAACTAATTAAAATTTCACAACTTATTTTCCTTTGAAATAACACTGGTCCAATTGCTATCCGATTTCGAGATTTCCAGTTCTCCGACTCTTACTTTTATGACTTTTGCTTTTACGAGGTGCATAGCATTTTAACACTTATACATATGTGCACACGTATATACACGTACATGTATATATGCAGCGCGTTTCACATAAAATTCCCTGTTAAAGTTATATTCATTTTCCATTGCCTCTTTTGAACTATTCCGAGACTTTGCATAAGCTGAAAAGCAAAATGATCGTTTCGTATTCCCATCAGTGTGCGAATACATAGCTGCGAATATACGTACGTAGATATTGATTTGAAATAATTTCCGACTATCGTAAATAGAAGCTTCCTTTTCTAAGAGCTACGATAAAATCTTCGAAAGAAATTATTTCCAACTCGAAGTAGCGATCGATCGAATTATTTCTTTTGTTCTTCTCTAACTATCTCTGTGTTCGTTAGATATTTCCGTACTTATAGGTAAATACGCTAAATAAAAGATATGAAGAAGATTCGATTGAACGAAAAAAAAAAAAAGAAAAAAGGAAAGAAAAATAAATAAAAAGCGATGATACGTCGAAATCGAAATCGTAACCGGAACCATCGCTGTATCAACTTACATAATATTAGGGATACTCATGAACACGCCGAAGATCATGTGCACGACACCGAAGATGATCGACAGCTTCATTTTGTACGAATTCAAAAATATTATCTTGTTCTCGGCTAATACCCAAACAGGATCCATACCCAATGGATAAGGCACTTGCGCGTAATTACTGGTAGCTGGATTCAACTCAATCATATCATCTTTCCCCATTGCATCTTCGTACGATATGTGCCAACTAGACCCGAATATGTTAAATGACTTTGAGAACACGTCATTGTAGATGATGCCAGTGTAAATGGAAAACAAACCCATAAGAAGGATAATATAACGTCCGGCGAAAAATATATTCCAAATTTCGGACGCTGACTTTTGCGCCATAAACTTCTTCTCCAACGCGATCATATATACAGCGAACAGGCTCAAAATTAAACCTAAAAAAAGAGAAGAAAAAGGAAAAGGTCGTCGCTTTCCATATTCCTATCTACACACGTACATTCGTACGTTATAAGAAATACACGGTGCGTTTCGTGACTATATAAAACCAGTTTCAAATTTCCTACCTTTATGATGTTCATCTTTATTTCAATTTCGAATCTGATTAGAAACGTGCAACGTAGATGGTGCGCGCGATCGAACTTACGTTCGACGTTCAAGCTACGCTCACCGCGCAAACTGGATTTACATAGAGATAAAACCGATAGAGTGGTCAGATTTGAAGTCGTTCGAGTCGAAGCAATCGTTTCGATCAATTGTGCCACGTACGTAAAAATAAGCCGAAGATAGAGAAAAACGTGCGATCGATGTACGTGTAACGCTTCGTTTGCAAGAAAATGACATTTGGACGATAATATCGAACGAGTAAATACGTCGATTCTCAACTAAACACGCGTGAGTCACGATCTTCTTTTTCTTCGCGATTTGCCATGATATTCCCGAAAAACGACGCGTTAAACGAGAAAGCTTTTCATTTAATACGATATAAACCATATGCCGTAGGTTTACTTAGTAATTCTGAAAATCTGCTTTATCGGTGCAAAAGTTGTTGAAAACACTGATTCTTGAAATGCTCTGCGAATTCAATTTTCGTGCACGCTTTCCAAAACATATTTTCCAGTCTTCCAGTTCTTCGAACGCCAAAATGATCCTCGGTTTTAATAGTTGTCTTTTAGAAATAAACCTCTGATTTAGTACGTACGTTTCTACGTAAACGGATGAAACAAACAATGGTTCGTATAGAGATCCGACCACGACACAGTCAAGTGCGTGCGTACTCGGTGGAAATTCAAAGTCGATTTTCTCGGAAACGAAGTCCCTCAAGTGAAAACAATTCATTGCATATTTTCGACTTATTTTCTCACGCACGATCATCATGTAAGACAGCCTGTACCTTCGACTTATTTTTTCACGTACAATCGCGCCATCTACCAACTGCCAACTGTATCATTGTTTTATTAGGACACCGTGTATCACTCTTAACCGTAGTCAGTGTCGAAACGTAAAACGTTTATTTACCGTGTCCACAATCGCCGAACATGACGCTAAATAGGAAAGGGAAAGTGATAATCGTATAAAGAGCTGGATTAGCTTCACGATACGATGCCACGCCGTAAGCGTCGATCAAATTTTGAAAACCTCTGGTGAACTTGTTGGTCCTGTTAAACGTCGGAGGATCTTCGTTCGTGTAGATAACATTGAGGAACGATGGTATCGTACTACCACAGAGACGCTGAAGAAAGTCAAATTTCAACGCGATTTTTATTATATTATTGTAATATATAATATAACTTGATAAATGATATTATAATATAATTTAATTATAGTATAAACGGGAAAGCATATTTTCAGTTGAACGAGCCAACAAAATATAAACGAGACGTGAAAGAAGAATATTTGGTTATTATAGAATTCCTTCGAATATAGAAAAACATGAAAATTTGAAGAAAATCGCAGCGATGTTGAAGGAAGGACACAAGATATATCGCGTCTCGAAGGTATCCGGCCATAATTTACGAGAAAATTTATCATCGTTATCAAATGCTCTAAATAACCATATTTCATTTCCTTATTGTTCGACACAACGGTGTATAGAACGATGTGTACGATAACAGGAGAAAATTAATTTCTGTTATAGAAGCTGTGCTAACACGTGCTAACGAAATTAATAAGAAATATAGTATAGAACTGTAGCTTGTTACTAGAAGTGTTACTCCTATTCGAATTGTTTCGTTCTTGAAACGTATCGTAAAACTTGTATACATAATATAATTTGAAGAAACCAACCGATCCTTCCGTGAGACAGTCTCGGACAATGGTGAGATCGGCAACAGGTACCCAACATTCTCCTATAAGGCACTTTTTCGTTACATCCACGTTGAACAAATTCATCGTATGATAAATGGCCTTCATCTTTCGAACCATAATCGTCCAATTGGGCAACTCCTTGGCAACATTATGTAACACGCGTTGACGATGATCTTGCGTTTGATTTAAAACCTGAATGAAATGAAAAGAAACGAAGATATCAACGATGAAAGATTCGACGATCCATTTCATATAATATAACCAGTGAATTCCGGGTTTTCATATATTCGTCGTACATTTTCATCAGAAACGACCCGACAATTATTCAAACGCGCATAAATTCGATTTTCTTCGTACTGAAAATTATTGATATTTATGAGATATACGTAACATTAAGGAAAAATATGTTTTCGAAAAATATCTTACAAAAAGCCTGGAGAAAAGTGTAAACGACTTCCTTACTTTTTACATTTTTACGTGAAAGTATTTCAAAACATAGAATTATACATTTTTCGGCTGTCAATCTCCTACGATATAGATCCATTTTAGCAGTTATTAATTAGACCAATATTTTTCGTACGTATTGTAATACTCGTAATAGAAGCTGTAAATACCTGGATACTTCGACGAATCGAATCTTAGAACGAAAAAGCGTTTAAAAGCAAAAGGGAATCAATTTACTACGGTAAGTACCTTTCTAGCGAATTACGTAATCCGCGTTAACCAGCTACCTGTTTCTGACGAGTATACTCGTCATGGAGAAATATTTTTTGTTATGAAGAGCCCTGTCGGTAATAAAACAATCGTTTCGTTACAACTTAATTTCATATTACAACAGCCACACGTACTATGTGTTTGACGAGTATACTCGTCATGAAGAAATGACAATACTTTGTGTTATGAAGAGCCCTGTCGGTAATAAAATTAAGAAATAAAAACGGTGATTTCGTTACAATTTAATCGATATTACATCAACCATACGTACTTTGTGTTTGACGAGTATACTCGTCATGAAGAAATGACAATACTTTTTGTTATAAAGAGCCCTGTCGGTAATAAAATTAAGAAATAAAACAATCGTTTCGTTACAACTTAATTCGATATTACAACAGCCACACGTACTCTATGTTTGACGAGTATACTCGTCATGAAGAAATGACAATACTTTTTGTTATAAAGAGCCCTGTCGGTAATAAAATTAAGAAATAAAACAATCGTTTCGTTACAACTTAATTCGATATTACATCAACCATACGTACTTTGTGTTTGACGAGTATACTCGTCATGAAGAAATGACAATACTTTTTGTTATAAAGAGCCCTGTCGGTAATAAAATTAAGAAATAAAACAATCGTTTCGTTACAACTTAATTCGATATTACATCAACCATACGTACTTTGTGTTTGACGAGTATACTCGTCATGAAGAAATGACAATACTTTTTGTTATAAAGAGCCCTGTCGGTAATAAAATTAAGAAATAAAACAATCGTTTCGTTACAACTTAATTCGATATTACATCAACCATACGTACTTTGTGTTTGACGAGTATACTCGTCATGAAGAAATGACAATACTTTTTGTTATAAAGAGCCCTGTCGGTAATAAAATTAAGAAATAAAACAATCGTTTCGTTACAACTTAATTCCATATTACATCAACCACACGTACTTTGTGTTTGACGAGTATACTCGTCATGAAGAAATGACAATACTTTGCGTTATGAAGAGCCCCGCCGGTAATAAAATTAAGAAATAAAAACGGTGATTTCGTTACAATTTAATTTCATATTATATCAGCCACACATACTCCATGTTTGACGAGTATACTCGTCATCACTTACCTTTTGCGACACACTTTAGGTACATAGTTTTCAAAGTTTTCTAAGAGGTCGCAACAGCTAAATGGTTAACGATGTTACCGTATACGTACATATGTACAAGACTCACCAAGTTCAAGTCTTCCAGTCGCGTTCGAACGCCCTTCACCATATCCTCGCGATCCGCGTGGCTGTGCGGACATGGGTACAAAGACGCGTGGAAACCACTGCAAACTTTCCTGATGCGGCTCTTCAGCTGCTCTCCTTGGAAAAACGCGACGAACACCGTTTTAAAAATTTGATTACCCTAAAACAATCCGCAAAACTTACGTACATATATCAAACAAGATTGTATTAGCGATATCAACAATGTTAGTAAATATATCTAAATGTATCTACCGTAGTAGCGATTAGAATAAACTAACGTTACGATATCGCACAGCAAATAAATATCTTCTTCGATCGTCAATTATTTGAAAAATATTTGCAGAATGAAATTGCTAGTTGCAATAAATTATTAACCGCTTGACGTCGAATAAACCACCGACGCCTAAACAGTTAACTAATTCTCCTTACTAATGAAATTTCAATTTTAACGATGTTTTTTACCATCGCATACGCGTGGACATTTCGATGAAATTAAATTATATTCATACGTGAAAATTTCTCCCTTTTCACGATTTAATCGTAATAACATCTATATGCATATTATGGAAAGGTAAAAAGCACGAGCAATATTCTCATAATATATTAGGTTGTCCCAAATGTCCCAAAAGGAAATCATAAAATTTCACAAAATTTGTTTGTTTTATATTATTTTACTGAATTACGTACGATCCGTTTCAGTCTATTACTACATCTATTATTTACTTATAAAATGAAAGGAACTTTTGGCACAACCTGATGTACGCATCTACAAGGGCAAATTAATTACTTAAAAGTTCGTCTCTTTGTATTATTTATACATTTAAATAACAATCGGTGCTATAACATTGAGCATTCATGCTTAAAATCTTATAAAAAAAGATATATAAAGTATACAAGTAACTTAGATAAATTTGTGCAAAATTAAACAGAGCGTGCAGGAGTTGTGATTTTTTGTAATTCGAATGAAATTGATCGAGTTTGAAAGTCTATCGCGTAAATAGATCAGCAAAAATCTAAATCATTATTTCCGAATCGTTAGGTATTTGTATTTTACGATCATCCATCGTGATAAGAGTTACTGCTTCTGTCACAATTATCTGACTTTTAATTTTTACCGAAACGACCAAAAACAGAGATCAAGTTCGTATTAAGAACAAAATAAGACCTCCTGTAAAGAGTAATCTTTCTTAATTAATAACAGAGATAAAGACGATGAGCAGGTATTAAGATTAAATGGTAGTACAGTATATAGAATGATGGTATATGGGAAAAGAAAAAATAAAAGGAAAGCAATAATAACGATAGAAGAATAGCCAGTTTGTTAATAAAATAATTAATTGGAAGTTAAATCACAAGGAAGTTAAATGTAAATTTGTATCTCACTTTTTCCAAGCACGCCATAAAAGCAATATCAATTACGATACCTAAGACAAACCAACCGATTGATATTACATATATTTTCTGATATTTACAAATAAAAAGAATTACAAACGATAGCAAAATATTAAGTTCATCGATAGGAGGAATATCTTCAAAGAAGGAATCTAACAACTTAAGATTTTATGGTTGATTATTATAGGAAAATGTGAAATTCTTTGAAAGTGAATCAACTTTGAAGCGAAAGAAAGTAAAGAAAATCTTCTACTTGTTTCGTGGATAGTCCAGTTGACATGTATTTAGCTTAATAAATTCAACAACGTACCTACCTTTATTTTTCTTTTTTTTTTTAATTCAATAAAACAAACATCTTCTCTTCGGTTACACGCATATTACGTACAAAGAAGAGAAAGAGCTTCTACGTAATGATTTATGAAAGAATAATACCTAATGACAATACTAGCATCAACGTAAAAAGTAGAAAAATTAGAATATCTTACCAAATCCTTGGGATCCTTGCGTACGTGATTTTAGCGATAAATACACGTAAGTGAGAACGATGAATATAGACACAATAAAAATATATTAAGAGAATAGAATTAATATCGCGATAAACGAATCAATTCTACTCGTAAAGTTTATGCAAGTAATAGGTCATTTTTATATCTCTGTAAATTAGATCAAGAAAAGTTAGACGATGGTTTTAAGACAAAAGAAGGAAAGAAGAAGAAGAAGCAGAAGAGAAGAAGAAGAAGAAGAAGAGATAAGAAGCGAACTAACAGTAGCTGGATCTTCCAATGGCTTGTCGAGCTCAGCTTGACGTAAAAATACATTTCCACGGGATATTCGCCACAACATTCTCTCGAAAGCTGGTATTCGTTCTCGGCTTATTACTCCAGCAACGAACCTATAAAAGAAAAATTTCATCGAATAAAATATATGGCTAACATGGTAATTTCGAGAAGTTATAATTGAATTAATCGATTATTACTGGCACACGCAACGGTGTAATTTATAATAGTGTAACGAATGTGACGAATGTAACAAATATAACAAATAAAGTACGGTATCTATAGAAAATAAAATATACAAAAGAGAACGTCGTTTTGAAAACAACGTTTTGAGGTTAAAAACAACGTTTGTAATTAATTTTGATCTATATCATATATATATATATAATGTTATTGATTATTAATTTTTATCTCTACATTTATACCTTTTTTGTTCTATGGAAATAAAATATTTTTTCTTTGCCGATATATACGTTACGTTTACATTTCAGTGTATACTTTTAATGTCTTTAAGGTCTAATTTCTTTTTAGAGATTACACGACAGGCTTACGAGATTATTCACGCACGTGTAAACATCTCTTACGAACGAACGTACATATTATGAGTTATACGAACAATTCTCTCAAATGTCGTTAGTCATTATTATGAAACTCGACTATCACCATACTGTAAAAATTTGAAACAAATCCGAGAATGTAGATATATAGAAATTAGGTTTCAATTATTTAGTAGAAATACGTATTAAACTGAT